TTTTTTTTTCTTCGTATGCTTCATATGCACGTATGCATCTTATGCGATATGCGATATGCAGCGATAGCAGATCGCAAACTTCGACGTTCCAACTTCAACACACGCACTTCACGATACGTGCACACGCATCGTGCACGCACACGCACAAGCATATACTTCATATGCTTGATATGCACATATGCATATTATGCGATGTGCGATGTGCAGCAATAGCAGATCGCAAACTGCGATCTGCAAGCATATGCAATCTGCAAGCAGATGCAGTTTTCTGTTACATTACAGTAATGCCGTACCCGCTTAATACACGCTTCATATGCACATATGCACATATGCACCCATGCTTCATATGCACATGCGCGCAAATGCTTCATATGCAAGCATATGCCACATGCGATGTGCAGCTTCATATGCTTCATATGCTTCATATGCACATATGCACATATGCTTCAGATGCACATATGCACATATGCACATTTGCACGTATGCTTCATATGCACATATGCACATGTGTTTCATATACACGAATGCTTCATATGCAAGCATATGCCACATGCGATGTGCAATCATATGTGATCTGCAAGCATATGCGATGTGCAATCATATGCGATCTGCAAGCATATGCCACATTCGATGTGCAATCATATGCGATCTGCAAGCATATGCCAGATGCGATCTGCAAGCATATGCCACATTCGATGTGCAAGCATATGCGATCTGCAAGCATATGCAATCTGCAAGCATATGCCACATTCCAGGTGCAATCATATGCGATATACAAGCCTATGCGATCTGCAAGCATATGCAATCTGCAAGCAGATGCAGTCTTCTGTTACATTACAGTAATGCCGTACCCGCTTAATACACGCTTCATATGCACATATGCACATATGCACATATGCACCTATGCTTCATATGCACATGCGCACATGTGTTTCATATGCACAAATGCTTCATATGCAAGCATATGCCACATGCGATGTGCAGCTTCATATGCTTCATATGCTTCATATGCTTCATATGCACATATGCACATATGCACATATGCTTCATATGCACATATGCACATATGCACATATGCACATATGCTTCATATGCACATATGCACATGTGTTTCATATGCACAAATGCTTCATATGCAAGCATATGCCACATGCGATGTGCAATCATATGTGATCTACAAGCATATGCGATCTGCAAGCATCTGCGATCTGCAAGCATATGCCACATTCGATGTGCAAGCATATGCGATCTGCAAGCATATGCGATCTGCAAGCATATGCCAGATGCGATCTGCAAGCACATGCCACATTCGATGTGCAAACATATGCGATCTGCAAGCATATGCGATCTGCAAGCATATGCAATCTGCAAGCATATACCACATTCGATGTGCAAGCATATGCGATATGGAAGCCTATGCGATCATAGCTATGTGCTATGCTACGCTATGCTATGCTACGCTATGCTATGCTAAGCTATGCTAAGCTATGCTACGCTATGCTAC